CCACTTCAAAAATCATGAAGATGACTTATAACCTTCGCTATATCCATAAAGACCATTTTTTTTCTGCAACCCATGTACATGTTTTACATCTTTTGTGATCTCTACCCCATCTACAAATGTTGAATACACTTTTATTTATTTGTTCCTTGCTAAATCCAAAAAGTAAAGTGTTGTATTCTGAATATTCACGTGAAATTTCCAACCATATAATTCATCTTTTTTAAGAATATAAAAACCGAGATCATCATCTGCAGATTTACAATGTACTTAAAAAAAATAATCATTTTTATTTTGAATTGTGACCCTCACAAGAGGACCACGAATTGAATATAATTCTCCATTTTGCTCAAGAATTTCATGACACCTCAAAGATATTACTAATATGGAAACAATAAACATTGAGCAAAAGAGGGATATGCAATTTCTTTTAGATGATTTAATCATGATGATTTATTAGTGGTGATATTATCTTTTCAAGAATTCACAGTTTATATATTGTACAATAACTCTTAAGAAATATAATGAATAGTCATTTTCTTCAAATTACCTAAATTAGTCATTGACAAAAACAAAAAAAAATTATAATTAGTCAAAAATCACAAGAAATATTTAAGTGATTATATAAAAAGATAATTTGCTAAAAAATAACCCAAAATCATAAATATGAAATTATTTAACTTTCTTCTAAAACATCACATCATCATCGAGAGCTAACATGTGTTCACTAATTAATTCAACTAAGTTCGAATTCAACTATTAAAAATAAGTGAGATTTGCTATGACACCTTAAAAATATTTAGAGATAACCGTTTCTTCTATATTAAAGAAACGTTTATTCATACTATTTTTTTAATTTCTTTGTCACCTAAATATTAGAAATAATTATTTAAGTAAAATTAATTGATAATTTTTTGAACTAAAATTTAAAAGATTTATTAAAAAGAAAATAAAACGTAAAAAAAAATTTATAACAATTTTTCTTAAAGATATGTTTTAAAGAAAAAAAATAAAAGCTTTTGAAAATCATAAACAATCACACAAGGCTACCATGTTCGGCCAACTATAGACTCTAAGTATAAAGAGAATTTTTGAGAAATGCCACTTTTGAAATGTCACTTTTCAAAAATTCTACTTTTTCAAAAATTTTACAAAAATGTCGTCTTTTCAAATCCATTTATTCATTATATCATTTATGTTTGGGTTAATTATGTTGTATTAGGGTTTAATTTTGAGGGTTTAGGGCTTGTTAAGGGTCAAAATATT